GACAATGGTGACAAGGAAAGTTCCTTGATTACCTACCAAGCCAGCCCTGTGCTGCAAGCTGGCCATTTAAATCTCATGATGACCCTAGGAAGGAGGAATGGCACGGTCAACTGCTCCACGGGTGAGAAAACTGAGGCTCAGAAAAAAAGGTGAAGTCATCTGTCCCAGGTGACCTAGCTGGCTTCTGTGGCACAGATCACAACTGCAAGGCCAGCCTGGACAACTTAGCGAGACCTTGTCTCAAACTTTAAAAAGTCTGGGAATGTGTCTGAGCAATAGAGCTCCTCTGGGTCCCATCCCCAGTACTGAAAAAAATATATCTGTATCGTGGTACTGGGACTCCCAGGCCTCTCCCAGCTTCTCTCTGGGGCTGCTGGGAGCCTCTCTTCTCCACCTGCCCCCTTCCTGGGTGCCAGTCAGCTAGGAGTGGGAGCTAGGAGGGAAGGGCGGTCCAAAGTCCAACCTGTGCTTCTGCCAAACGTGTTTATCTGATGGCCTCCCTCCTCCCCCAGCTGCAGTCACCGCCCTCTCCACCCCTCCCTTGCCCTCTCTCTCTCCTTTGCACGCTGGATGGTGTCATGGCGTCGCCTCTCCTCTAGGCCCAGGCTAAAGATTCACTTTCAGCCACTGCCACTTGAATATTTATGTTCGCATTCATATTCTCTCTCTCTCTCTCTCTCTCTCTCTCTCTCTCTCTCTCTCTCAGTTCATTCCCTGGTACAAAAGAAAGAAAGAAAGAAAGAAAGAAAGAAAGAAAGAAAGAAAGAAAGAAAGAAAGAAAGAAAGAAAAAGAAAGAAAGCAAGCAAAGCTTATTCCCCTCCGCCTCTCCACTTCTCCCGTACCAGGTCAACAGGTCAAATAAAAATGAAATAAAACCAAGGCCAGCCACCCTCCACACCACCGCTACACTTGTTGTAAAGACTGCACATGTATCTCAACAGGAAAATGGGAAGCAAAAAGTGGTCAAGGGATTCAGCTGAGCTACTAAGAACCTGGCGTTTTAAAACAGTTCCTGGTAGAGTTGGCCAACAAATCCACAGCGGCAGCAACAAAAGTGAATTTAAAATGCCAGTGAGAATGCAGAGCCAAGAGGGCCTGTCTTCCCCTCTTCTGGGAAAAGTCAAGTGTGCAGTTTTTTCTAGAACCTATTGAGTCAGTTTCTCTGGCTCTGTGTCTTGGTCCCCCCCGCACACACACCATCTTCTCCAACTCAAAACTAAGAGGCCAAAGCCCTGGGCCTGATTTCCCATGATTCACCTGCCTATACATAGGGTAAATCCAAGTCTACCTCATGATGCTCTCCAGAGAATTAAATGAGTTCCAAATGGGGATGGAGAGTTTGGAGCTGGGTCGGGCCCATCATAGGGCTTAGTAAGAGAATAATATTGTGGCATCCTCCTCATCCTCACCAGCAGTGTCATCCTGTGGTCCCCTAGCCCAGGAAGGGTGAAGATCTGCCCATACCCTGCCTCTTGCCTCCCGCCCACACAGGTCAACCAGATATCCAAGGTTTGGGGGCTTTTGCTCTCTGGTTTCAGAGGTTGTGGGACCTGGTGGTCGTTCCTCTGGAGAGGGAGCCAGATTCTCAGTGTGGTGGCCTTAGATCTGAGTTCAAATTCCAGCTCAGCCTTCCACTATCTGAGCAGCCATGGGAAGCTACTTAACCTCTCTGTGCCTCAATTCCCTCGTCTGCAAGATAGAGCTACAGATAGTTCACATTGAAGAGGAAAAAATGAATTGTATGCATTTGTAAGCCCTTGGTGTGCTCTATAGCACTGCAGAGAGGTGGGTGCAGCCTGAGCTGAATCGTGAGAAGGATGGGGTGGGAACTGAACCTACAGACAAGCACACAACCTCCAGGGAGCTGGGCAGTGGGCAGGAGGACTCAGGCCCAAGTTCCGGCCTTGCTACCCAGAAGAGTTACCTTGGCTAAGTCACTTGGCCTCTCTGAGCCTTAACTTGCTCATCTGTAAAATAGGACCACCTGAAACGATCGGGCCAGCTACCATTTACTGCACATACTACACAAGCAGTTCTGCAAGTATCATCCTGTTTAATGCTCCCAATGTTCGTTGCATCTCTGCCTTGCAGAGGAAACTGAGGCTCGGAGAGTGAAAACCACCTGGCTGAAATGGAAAGGCACAGGCTGGGACTGGATCCCAGGCCCTCTGGCTGGGATGTTGGATCCTTTGTCCTGCCTCGGCTATGTTCTTTCTAAGTCACTGTCTCCTGGGGCTGCTTGATGGGGAGGAACAGAGTTTCCAAGCTGGGATTTAAACTGCTCAAGAACGAAGAGGAGCTGTGAGGACACCCAGCAAAGAGCGCTCATTCCTGGTCACCTCCTTAGTGAGGGCAGGAGGTGTTTTCAGGGCCTCAGATCGCCCTGGTCACTCATCCATTGATTCGTGCTGTGTCAGACGTGGGGCTGCATTTCAGGGCCATGAGTAGTGAACAAGGCTTTGCCCTTGAAGAGCTCCCTATTTCCCTGGCAGGACACAGAAAACAGGCAGGCTGATAAAAATGATAAAAGACAAGAGAAAGTCGATGAAAGTACTAAAAGACAATGTGAGTTGGGATGGGCCTCACCTGTGAATGGGGCGATCAGGGAGCTGAAGGAAGAGAAGATCTGGAAACACAGTACCAAGCAGGAGAAGCCCCACATGCTAAGGCCCTGAGGCAGGAATCAGCCTGTCTTCAGGGCCGGAAAAGCCAGTGTCAAAGGAAGAAAGAGGGTTTGGAAGAGAGAGGTCAAGGAGTTTGGTGGGCCTGACGGGATAGCACCAAGGCAGGGAATTCGGATTTTATTCACCGTCTGTGTTGGGAAACTCAGGCAGAGGAAGAGAAGCGACCTGCTCAAAGTCTCTTCTCTGGATTAAGGGTAGAGATCTGAGAGGAGAACTCATGCTCCCACTCTGGCCTCAAACATGGGGCACCCCTGGGAGACCGGAGGCACCTGCCTCTTCCCAGACACCACCCTCTCCAGAGAAACAGCCTCCTACTGGGTGTCTCGGGTCCACACCATCTCTCCAGCCTCAACTTCCCCACCACCCAGGTACAGGTGTTCACAGGGGTCCCCCAGCCCTCTCCCAGGGGCTTCCTTCCCTGCCAAGGCTAAAGGCCCCACTTCCATCCCTGGGGCGTTTTTCAGATCCCCTTTGTTACCTGAACAATAAGTAACCCAGGTAGTTAGTTATAAACTCTACAGGAACAAGGAGCTGGTTGATAATTTATAGCAACATCTCAAATTTAAATGGAAAGTAAATAGCATGCTGTTAGCATTAAAGAAAACCCAATCGGGGCAGAGGGAAGCACTCAGCCTCCACCCTGCCTGCTGCCTCACTCTCTCGCCTGCCCCTTCTCCCAGCTGGGTCTGAGCCCCTCTCCCCTGGGGCTCCCTGCTCTCCCCGCTTCTGCACCCTCTCTCTCCATCCTCCCCTGGTCCTCTCTCTTCCTCCTGCTCCCCGCTGTTCCCGCCTCTCCTGGGCTTCCCGGTCTCTACTAGTCCCAGGGAGCACTTTGCCCTCTACTCCCCCCTGGAATGCTGAAGACCAGGCCTCCCCCCAACAGCAAAGGGGCTGCTGGTCAGGAGGCCCCACCCAACCAGGTAAGACGGCCCTTGGCACCCCTTGCCCTGATCCGTACCCCAAAGCCCCTGATCCCACCTGGGCCCCAAGCAGGCCAGGCCCGGCCCCACCCCATCCAGGCCTCCCTGGGTCTGGTGATGCCTGGCCCTTTGCTCCTCCCCTGCAGCGCGGAAGCCCTTTGCCCTCTTCTTCCTGCCAAGTCAGGGGGCCTAACTGCTCCCCTGCCCCCCGTCCAGGGCCTCAGGAGGCTCCCGGACACTTCTGGGAAGGCCAGGGTCCACCAGCCTTCCCCCACTGCAAGCTTGGATCAGGACCTTGGACAGAAAAGAGATGGGTCCCCCACGCACAGAGCATCCTCAGTGCCCTCAGCCACCCCCAACCCAGCTCCTGACCTGCACCATAGCTCTTTTCCCACACCAAGCCTTGGTTTCCCCATCTGTAAAGCAGAATTCTCAACAGCTCCCTCCCAGAACTCCTCTGAACATTAAGGGCAGTTAGACACAGGAAGTCTCAACGGCAAGCAGTAAACGCTTGCAAATATGCAGCTGTGAGGACAAGGATGTGGAACCTTTAGAGAAGAGTGGTCTCTATGCCCCCCAGGTCGTACTTCTCCCACCCCGGTGTCCCCATCCTCCACCTTCACTGGGTGGGAGGTTGGTTGGCCCAGGCGTCTCCAGGCCACCGTCCCTACAAGTTAATGATCACAGGCCTTATCAGAGCCTTTTGCCGTTTATAAATTTATAAAACAAAAGAGAAATAATAAAGTGCATGGGTAATTAGTAACCAGGTCAGCTCTTCTGAGGAGAGGGGAGGCATCAAGCTCAGGACCCACCCAGTTCTCACCCAGGAGATGGGGAAACAGCCAGAGGATGGGGTGCAGGACGGCAGAGAGGGTACAGGATGAATGGGAGACTTCTAATGTAGCCTGCGGCCCAGGTGGGGGACTCAAGGTGGCACAGGAAAAAGGAGCAGCTCCCACCCGCAGCCTCCATCCGCCTCAGGTAAGAAAGACCTGGGCTTTCCCTGCCTCCAAATGCTTAAGGCTCTGGGGGTGAGGCAGGGAAGCCCCCAAAACCCCAGCCTCGGCCCCCGCCTCCCTAGTGGTGCTTTCTGGCCCCCCAAGCTACAGTCTGAGCATTCGGGCGGGCAAGTTAGGGTTTGGGGAGGCACAACTGGCCCTGGTGGCTAAGGTTTTCCAGCACTTCCTGGCTCTACCAGCGTTTGCACTGCGGACCCTCACCTCTGCTCCAGCCCGGAGTCCCCGAGGGCATGTCCCCACTTTGAGGCCCAGGCTGAACGCCACAGCACATGGGAACTGGGAGCCTGCAGAGGGGCAGGTGGGGCAGATGGGGGCAGGAGGGGAGGGTGGCCCAGCCGGCTCCTTCCCGGGCGCGGGGGACGGAAGGGGGCCTTACTGCAGCAGGGTCTCCACCACGGCTTTCTGGTGGGCCGCCTCCTCGGGGCTGAGGTTCTCCAGCTCCTTGAGGATGGGTGGTGTGAAGTCTTCGCCATCGTCGTCCGTCTCGTCCTCGGAGCCCCGCGTTTCCCCCAGTCCATTGGGCAGCTCAGCCAGCTCCCCTCGAGTCCCGACACAGCTCTCGCCCTTGTCCAGGGGGCCGTCTCCGGCCAGCAGGTAGGGTCCCGGCTCGCCCAAGGCCTGGATCAGCGCCTCTTTGCTCAGGCCCGACTCGAGCAGGGCCGCCAGGAGCTCTGTCTGCAGCTGGCTCAGTTTGGAAACCATGGCTCGGCCACCGCTGCGCCACGCGGCCCGGGGCCACCAAGCTGGCCACCTCCCCCACCCACCGCGCAGGCTGTCTACTTGCTGGCGGGCTGGCAGTCACAAACCAGGCTCCTTGCACCCACTGCCCCCCCAAACCCCACTAGCCAAGCCCTTGGGCACCCCCAACCCCCAACCCTGGCCCCAGAGGCCAGTGAATCAGGGCCCCTGCCTGCTCTGTTTACATTGGAGCTGGGGAAATTCTCCAAGGTTCATATTTATCCGTGTGCTTAGCGAAGGGACTGAACTTTGGACTTCAGCCCTGCAAAGAGCAGGTCTCATGGCAGCCGCGGAGCCATTGCCTTCAGCTGGAGCGGGAGAGGGGTGGGGGAGGCAGAGGCCGGTGGGCAAGTGCTAGGGGCCAGGGAGGCCGCTGGCCCAGCAGCTCTGGGTCGCACCCCCGAGGGCCTTTGAGGGGAATCCGGCTGAGGTAGGGAGCAGAACAAAAGCCTGTTTCTTTCCAGAGAAACAGCAGGAAGTTCTGGGCCGCTGGGCCAGCTCCTAAGGGAGAGCTGGTCACCTCCATTTTGGGACCCTCTCACCAAACCCAGGCCCAACACCAGGCCTCCCGGTAGGAGATTGTGGTGAATTACTGTGCACCGGGGACTCTGCTGCGTTTACCATGTGCCTGTTCATTGAATCCTCCTGGCAAAGGAGGGTAGGCACAAGGGTTACCTCCATTTTACACAGGAGGAAATCCAGGCTCTGAGAGGTGGGACAACTCCCCTAAAGTCAGCAAGAGACAAGGCTTGCATGGGGTAGGACCAGTTCGCCCCAGCTACAAATTTTAAGGGGGCACCCCAAAAAACGTTAGTAATCGAGTAACTTCTTTGTGCCGCATAGTTTAAAAATTAAGATTACTGCAAAACCCAAAAGAATGAAAAGCATATGTCCACCTGAAGTTTGTACATGGATGTTCACAGCAGCATCAAAGCAGCCGAAAAAAATGGGGAAAAACCCACTAATATCCAGCAACAGAGGAATGAATATCCATGCGGTAGGACAGCATTCAAGCCAGGTATGTGCCATACACCTGTAATCCTGGCTTCTCGGGAAACTGAGTCAGGAGGATCACAGGTTCAAGGCCAACCTGGGAAACTTAGTGAGACACCCTGTCTCAGAATAAAACATGAAAAGGGCTGGGGATGCAGCTCAGTGGTGGAGCACTCGCCTGGCATGCACAAGGACCTGGCTCCATGCCCTCTACTGCCGCTAAAGAAAAGTATACTATTCAATCTTGAAACACGCTACAGCCCGGATGAACCTCGGATACATTGCGTGGTATGAAAGAAGCCCATCTCGAGAGACCTCGCTGTATTGGCATGGAACGTCCAGACTGGTCAAATTCGTAGAGTCAAAGTAGCTCCATGGCTGCCCCGGGAGCTGGTGGGAGATGAGAACGGCCAGGGGCTGTTTCATGGGTAACAAAACGTTCTAGAATTGACTGTGGGGATCGTTACAGGATTCTGGAAATACACTAAAACCCACTCAGTTGTACATTTCAGGAGGGCAGATTTGATGGCATGTGGCTTGTTTTTACATGCTGTAAAGAAATCTGCGGTGAACAAAATACCCAACTTTTAAATAAAGATAGGCGTTCCAACCCTGACCCGACCCCTTCCCCTCTCCAGACAAGAGTCTGCCAGCTCTGCTCCAGTGTGAGCGCCCTGAGCCAGCACAGAGCTTACACCATTTCAGGGAGAAGCTGAGGGGCTGCTCCCTACACAGAAGGGAGCAGATCTTTCAGGGGACTGCAGAGCCAGCAGCCGAAAACTCCCAGTACCCAAAGCCAGGAAGGCAGAGAAGAAAGGCCAGGTAAGTACTGTCCCCTCCCACCCCAGGCCTTTTGGTGAAATGACAATATTTTGAATATACTGGTTTAATGTTTAAATTTTTAAATTACTCCAGGGGTGGCAAGACTGTGATCCCAGGCCTGGAAGCTGAGCCAGGGAGGATCAAAGAATTCAAGATCATTCTGGTCTACATAGTTAAACCCTGTCTCAAATATACAAATCAAGCTGGACGCGGTGGCCCATGGCTATAATCCCAGCACTGGGATGGCTGAGGCAGGAGGATCACCACCAATTTAAGGTCAGCCTGAGTCAAACAGTGGGACCCTGTCTCAAAAAGAAGAAAAAAATCAAACAAGTAAATAAAAAATTTAAGGTAGCAAAGTATCTAGTCTGTGCTGGCACAGACTTACAATCTCAGCTACTCAGGAGATGAGTGCTAGGCCAAACAGGGCAACTTAGCAAGACCCTGTCACACACACACATTTAAACTGAAAGGATATCAGATTATATTTAATTTCAATTTTATTATTAATATAGTTTTAAATAAAATAATTTTAAGTAAATATTTTCACCTGTTTTTGTTTTAGTTTTGCAGTACTGGGAGTGGAACCCAGGCTCTCTCACGTGCTAAGAAAGTGCTCTACCACTGAACTACATCCCCAACCCCATTTCTTTGTTGGTTTGTTTGTTTGCTTTTTGACCCATGGTCTGGCTAAATTGCCCGAGCTGGACCCAAATTTGCACTCCTCCTGCCTCAGCCTCCAGAATAGCTAAGACTGCAGGTGTGCACCACCACGCCTGGCTCTTTTTACTCTTTAGGTGGTACTACTGGAAATCTTTACATTACATGTTAATTTTAGTTTGCATCTGGGGTGAAGCTCAGTAGTAGAGCACTTGCCTAGCATACACAAGGCCCCGGGGTCAATTTCCAGCACCATGACATAATAAAATATAATTACATATGTCGCTACATTACTGGGCACCGTTACCCTTTGATTTACTTATTCATTGTGCTGACTGTATAACCCGACTTTCCTGTGCTAGAACGTTAGCTCCACTGGGCATGGTGGAGCAAACCTGTAATCCCAGCACTCAGGAGGCTGAGTCAGGAGGATCGCCTGTGAGTTTGAGGCCAGCCTAACCTACATGGTCAGTTCAAGGCTAGTTTGAACTGTATAGCAAGACTCTATCTATCACAGAAGAAGAAGAAGAAAGGGCTGGGGATTTAGCTCAGTGGTTCAGTGGCCTGCCTTGCAAGCGCAAGGACCCGAGTTCAATCCCTGGTACCCAAAAAAAAAAAAAGAAGAAGAAGAAGAAAGGGCTGGGGATTTAGCTCAGTGGTTCAGTGGCCTGCCTTGCAAGCGCAAGGACCCGAGTTCAATCCCTGGTACCAAAAAAAAAAAGAAGAAGAAGAGGAGGACAAGGAAGAGGAGGAAGAGGAGGGGGGGAGGGAGGAGAGGGAGGAAGAAGATGATGATCAGCCCCACCAGGAAAGGGCTTTATTCTGCCTTGTTCACTGCTATATTCCCATGGCCTAATGCATTGCTTCATGTGTACATAGTAGATGCTCAATAAATATTCATTACATGAATAGCTCATTTTCATTGCAACTCACTGTACGTTGTGTTTCTTTGTTCTGTTTGAGGGGAGCGGTGCTGGGGATGGAACCCAGTGTGCTATGGTTTGTTTCCCTCAAAGGTCACATGCCGAAATTTAATCCTGATGCAGTAAGGCTGGGAGCCAGTTGGGTAATGAGGCTCTGCAGTGGGGAGTGTACGGGCGTCCCCTCGCAAGGGTGCTAGCTGTCCCCAGAGCTCCCCCGGCCTTGGCTCTCCCTCTGTCACCCTTTCTGGCCCTCCTGCCTGCTGCCCCGGGGCGATACGATAGGATCCTCTTGGCCAGATGCTGGCTCCTCCATCTCGGACTTCGCAGCCTCCAGAACCATGAACCAAATGCACTTCTGCTTACTCTAAATCACCCATACCCGGAATTCTGGTTGTAGCAGTCGGCAGGGGACTAAGACACCGTGTGCACCTGCTCCTGCTCCTCGCTTTAGTCGTGTGCCAAACTCTCAGAACAGCTCTCAACTAGGATGTGTTACTATCCCACTCTCGGGGGAAGAAACCAGACTCCGGGGGTGACAGGGCCCCCCGGAGTCCCTCAGAGCTGGGGTCCCGCCCCTGGGAGGCCCCTCGGGAGACCCGCTCTCTCCTGTGCCCCTGAACCCCCAGCCCAGGACAGCACCTTGCGGCTGGGGTCAGAATTCCCAGGTCCAAGACAGTAGCGGGGGAAGGTGCTATGAGCTGTCCCCTAGCGGCCTTCCTGCTTACTAACCCTGTCTGCCATGGCCCCTTGACCTGTCACCTACAGCGGGGAAACCCAGGGAAGCTGGGGTGGGGGGTGGGTCCTGGATGCTTTGCAGAAGTTCCAACTCTCTTTTTTATTTGTTTTTTTGAGACAGGGTCTCACTAAGTACTTGGGACTGACCTGGAACTCACTGTGTAGCCCAGGCTGGTCTCAAACCCACAGCGATCCTCCTGCCTCAGCCTCCCGAGTGCTGGGATTACAGGTATGCGCCACCACGCCCGCAGAAGTTCCAACTCTTTAACTTCGGGGGAAGCCAGGTGGCTGAACCCGTGACCCCGAGCGAAGGTGAATTTGAAGATCAGAGCAGGCAGTTAGGGTACTGTTTGGGGGTTCGTCTTGCTTTGTTTTGTTTTGTTTTAGTCGACACATGTTGATGGGATACAGTGTGATGTTTTTCTCTGGAGGTTTTTTGTTTTGTTTTGCTTTTTGTTTTGGGTACTGCAATTGAACTCAGGACTTGTGCTTGTGAAGCAAGTGTGGCACCACGGAGCTAAATCCCCAGCCCTTTTCTTTGTTTTTTTGAGACAGAGTCACTATGAAGTCCAGGCTGGCCTTCCTCCTACCATGTGGCTCAGTCGGGCCTCAAACTTGCTCCAATCCTCCTGCCTCAGCCTCCCGAGTGCTGGCATTATAGATGTGCACTGCCATGTCTGGCAACGCTTGATATTGTAATGCATATACAATACATAACGATCAGGTCAGAGTCATTAGCGTATCCATTACCCCAATATTTACAATTCCTCTGTGTCGGCAACACTCAAAATTCTTTCTAGGGGTTGGGGCTGTACTACAGTGTTCCAACACTTGCCCAGCATGCGTGAGG